GTTTTGTATGTGAGGAAAATTCCATACCTGACACCAAAAGACTTGCAAAGCATAATGACTTGCAAAATATGTATTCTGTAAATATTTTCTTTCCAGACTGGTGTTCCACAACCAGGAGCTGCAGCACCAGTTGCCCCAGCAACCGGAGGTCCACAGGCGGCAGCTGGTTACCAACAGCAACCAGCTTATGGTAGTTATCAACCTCCAGCTAGCGGTAAGTAACAAAGAAATTGAACAGTTGAAAGAGTGTAAATATCTGGGAATAATATTAGAAGAGTTTTAGAAGAAAAGTTGAGCAGTTGCATATCATTTTGATTATTGGAGGACAATTCTGTTTTTTTCTGAATAGTGATCAAATCAATTATTAAAGTAATGATACTACAGATGGAAGTAAATGTGCTAAATAATATCGAATATGTGCAGAAATGAAGTATGTAGTGTAATGTTATTTGCCACTAATTAGAATGCTACATTTGAAAGTTATAACTTACAGTATTTGAGAGAGATATTTTAATAATTCTGTTTTTTCTTTATAGTGTCTTAATGAAAATTTTGAATGATATTGAATCTTTTGAATGCGAATGAATACTTTATATTTGATGTTGAGACAAGGAGTTTTTCAATAAGTGGTCTTGATTGACTTTTAGGTTACTATGGTGGTCAACCACAGGCAGCGCCTGTTCCGGGAGGTGTACCGCAAGGAGGCTATGGATTCCCATCTTACGGATATGGTGGTGGCCAGGCAGGAGGTCCTCCGAACTCGCAGGACAATTAAACATAATGAAATGTAAGTATTTTCTAGAGATCAAGTTTAATACTTTTTTGAACGTCTATCACATGGTTATCTACTTTGGAAAACAATAATTTTTTGCCTGTTGCTATTGGTGGATTTATATTTTTTGTGTATCGAATTTTTCTTATTTGGTTTCGTGGTTTGATTTATCTATTTCAGGAGCATTCCTCTTTAGGAATGCGTACCGCTCTTTAATATAGTTATTTTCTATGTGGTACCGATGTTTCAAAGGGTGTTCTGATCACATTTTTTATAATCAGAAAAAACTTTTTTGAATTGCAGTCAAAAGACTTCTTCTGTAGGAAATAACGTTGCATTTATTTTGACAGTGAAGCCTTGAAGTCTATAAAAAAAGTTTTATGAAATCTGCTCACATTTTGTATTCAGTCGATCAAAAAACCTATTTTCCAAATAATATTTTTTTTGACAGTGTTGCACTATTTTGCAGTATGTCATGAAAAGTATATACAAGGTCTCTTCAAAAAGTAAATGAAATGTTCCTCAAAAAATATTGGTCCAGTCCGTCAGAACAAGAATAATGAATGCACAGCATTGAAGTTTTAAAAATACCTTTGTATTCATTGAATAACATCAGAAGTACTCCTCAACAAAATTATATCGAAACCTTTACCATATTTGATAATTATTATTTTTAATTCTGGTAGATATCCACAATTATTTCAAACTTGTATTATGAAATCAATATATAAATCAATTGACAACCTTCAAAACATTTAACTAATGACTAATGAGATCTGAACTTTTAACGTACCATTTCTTAACAATCTCAAAATTTTTCTACAGCTACAAGATTAAATTAATATTCTCGAGAATTTTCTAATCATATAAGTTTAAAAAAGTGTTCTACACAAAAAACTACCCTTTAGTTAATACTGTGACTGCTATTAAATCATCTTAATTAGATTGGTCTTCTGCTTTCAGAATAGCCCAATAAAAAAATTTTAATAGTGTATGTGCTTAAAGGAACATACATTTCAGCAAATTGTTAACAGTTTTCCAAAATTATGTGAAATTTTCAGAAATTATGAATGTGTGTGATCAGAACACTAATTTTTTCCAGATAAAAAGTGATATTATTTCTACAAAAGATCCTGTGAGAAATAGAATTGCCCTTTCAGTTTTATTGAGATATCGGCCTGTAACATTAATATAATAATCCTCAATATCACTTCTGATGAATCTATCTCGAAAGTACATTCAAAATTGGTTAAACACATTTAAAATTATTTTTTGAATACAACCAATATTTTAAAACTAATGAATGCTGGATTTCCATTGCACATTTCGCTCCGAATCGTGTCACATGACCACCATTGCGTATGTTCCCAAGGATCTGGTGATAAGGTGTAGTTTTTTTAGATATAGTAATGAGCAAACTTTGTGTATTGGAATCGCACCTGGGTTAAGGAAAGGTTGATTTCCCGCAATACGGGTCCATCTCACTTTATATTGTAATTTACTTTGTACTGCAGCTGTAAGCTGCCACAGTGTATAAACATTAAACATAACCTATAATCCTGCCGTGTTTTGTTATTTTTGTTTGCAGATCCTCCTCCAAAGCAGGTGAGTATTTCCCAAAATGTCTGCGTTGTCGACCTCATGATTGCAGATGTACTACTTCTACATTAAGAAAATTATATTTCATGAAATTTTAAAGAATAGTTATGAATTTATTGATTGATGATTTATTTACACATACATTGAATTTGTATCGTGAATTTATTGATTGATGATTTATTTACACATACATTGAATTTGTATCATACATATATACTCTATATTTATTGTAAAGTATGATATTTGCCTATTGGTGGCTTTTGGTGCATTTATATTCTCAGTCTTTACAGAAAGCATATCCATATATATTTGCAAGGTAACAAGTTGTAGAAGATATGAGATTGGTAATTCACACTTGTTTATTCATACAAAAATTATTTTATACATTTTTTAATTTCACATGATAATTTGTTATGATAGTACAAATGATAAATACTTTTCAAGGTTGTCGCTCCATTGTTTTTAAATGTTGATAATTGTTGAGAGAAATGATAATCTAGTAAGACTAGATATTCACTTGAAAGTTACAAAAATATAAAATAGACATTGGCGGCATTTAAGTTAACTTCTACAAATGCAAATAAGAGTATAACAAACAAAAAGTCCATTTCAGTTTTATCTAATCTACAACTGAAATGCTTCAATTCAATTATAGCTGCAAGTGTCGAATGACACTTCTTTATTGACTTTTATAGAAACATTCATCTTCCATAATCTGATGAAAATAATAACTGTTTCAGTTTTCTATCACCAACATTTAGTCTTTAATTTTTGAATTCTCATCTACGTATTCTAGTAAACCGTACCTGTTTTAATTTGTTCTAAATTATTGGTACATTAGTTGAGCAGACTTCAGCTTTTAGTGCTTTAGGAACACCCGTTTCATTTGGTTTAATTTTTTATATTGTTTAACAGATTTTAACAAAACATTAAATAAGGATTAATTAATTGAATAATGAAGTACATCTTGTCAAATCTAGGAAGAGACTTGAGAATTCTCTATCTCTTGTTCTCATAGTCTGCTAATGAACGCACATCTAGTGGGTGGGACCATAAAGGAATTCAGTCATGAGGTTTGAAGATGAATGATGAATGTTATTTATGGGTAAATATCAAACGGTCATTCAACGATAGTACTATTTAATAATTTATCAAAATTCAACTTTGGATAAAAATCATACATTTCAGCAAATTGTTAACAGTTTTCCAAAATTATGTGAAATTTTCAGAAATTATGAATGTGTGTGATCAGAACACTAATTTTTTCCAGATGGTGATTGATGCAGCGATATCAGATTTATATATTTACAGATTTTAAAGGTGGGCCGAAATTCTCAACTAGGAGCTTCTGGAGAATATTTTCTTATTCATTAAGAAAATATTTTAAACAGCATCTGTTCTAGTAATAAGAGAACGTATTTATACAGCCATTTTGTCCAGCCTATAGAGAAAACAACAGCAGTGATTTGAATTTTTTAACACATAGCATATAATAGAAATAAGTTTGGTTTTCTTTAAATATATCATCATTGACATACAAATTGGAATGTGGTTCCAATGAAACAAAATTTCAATTTCAATATTCACTATATATTACTTGTCCCATGCAGTGTAGTTTTGTTTTTGATTTTGGTTACAATATCACAATTATATGAATCTGGATTGTTTAATTTTTTCATTTATTTCGAGTTTTCTACGCATCTATTTTCCAAATGATTTTTTAGGCTATAGATAAAAAGAGAAAAGTGTGTTAGATTATTTGTAGGGACCCTTGGACTGGGAGATTGGATCTTTAATTTGGTAAGATCATTATCGAATTGCATTTGATTTGTATATTTTTGTTTAATACATTTCTATTCCGGTGAGTGACCAAGACTATCCTTGAAAAAATATGTCTTTGATGTGTTTTGCGGTAAGTTTTCAACGGAAGGACTATTATTCAAGGGTAGGTACAAAGTTTGTTCACGAAGTGTTGAAATTTATTTGGAAGCAGAAGCTCCATTTGAAGTTTATGAGAAGAAGGACTATATCTTGAGAACCTGTTTGGGTGTCGTTTGAATTCTACATTGAATTAAAAAAAATTGCTTTATGTTTATTGATTCATGCATATATTTTTGAAATATTTCTCACAAATCAGGCTCTAAGCCCCAATCAAAAGCTCTATTTTAGATATGAGACCAATCTTTTATTCTGTAGCTAGAATATCAATTCAGATATGTGATGGAATTGACCGATACTACCAATACTTGATGAAAATCCATCTCACAGTAGTCTTACTTGAATATATCTGATATGAGATTTATCACTGAAGAAACTACAGTGTCCACAAATTAAACCAAGTAGAATTCATGTAAAAAAGTGATATTATTTCTACAAAAGATCCTGTGAGAAATAGAATTGCCCTTTCAGTTTTATTGAGATATCGGCCTGTAACATTAATATAATAATCCTCAATATCACTTCTGATGAATCTATCTCGAAAGTACATTCAAAATTGGTTAAACACATTTAAAATTATTTTTTGAATACAACCAATANTATATAAACAAAAATATAACCTCCCATCAAATGACAGGATTCAATTTCTGACCATGCATGATGTTGGGTTTTACACATGTATATTTAAAAAAACAAAAATTATATCAAATTTATGTTATTCACCCCCCAAATTGTTTTCTAGGGACCGTGGGGGGTTTATCCTGGTCTAGATGGTATACAACTTACAAGTTTAACTTTCATAACAAAAATCTCATTCTGATTTAACTAATAAGGTCCCGCGTTAAAATTTGAGTTTCTTGATAACGTTGTGTTTATAGTGGCTGAAAGTATCAGAGGAGTATAATCTGCGGTTGCTCTGTTGTATTGTTTTTTTTTCAATTAAGGATTGTAAATTATACGTATATGACATTATTATTAGCCAAAGAGCAGCCTATTCAGATGATGAAAATGTTTTTGAAGAATGTTGTGATAACTGATATATTTTGTGTAAAATATCCTTTGAAAGTGTGAGGAGAACAACATTTTGAATATGAAGTCATAATTTGGTATCGATAATGTATCATATGAATTTTTTTCACTTTGACGAGACGTGGATTGGCTTCCCTATTGTCTATCCTTAGACACCTTCAGGAGCTAAGAGAATATATGTGATTGCAAACAAGGCATAGCTCATAAACTTGTGAGGTCTCCGGTTCTAGTGAATATATTTTATTTGTTGGATATTCTGCAAGAAGTAACTAATGGAAATAGATATGTGGATGCATTCTATTGGGAAGAAATAGAATAGCAGAACAAAAACCAGGAAAGAGATCCAAAACCCCGGGACTGCAACACTTTCAAAAGAAGCACTGTTTCCAAACACCAGAACTGCAACACTCTTCTTGACGCGATCAACCAAGTTGTCGTCTTCAGGAAAGAAGACACGCGACGAGAATAGTGTTGCAGTTCTGGTGTTTTGGAACGATGCTTGTTCCACTTTTCATTCTGGAAAGAAATATAAGATTTTTGAAGGGTATTAGCATCGTGTGAACTGGAACTCCATACATGAAACTGGTTATATTGCTTGTTTATCAAATTTGACTTCCTCATTTATAAAGATGTGCTTTATAATGAACCGCCTCTTACATGAAAACTTGAAACACGGTTTGAACTTGTGAATTTATTTACCTGCTCTACATTGAAATGCAATTTTGTTATTGAATAGTGTGAGTATTCGAACCTACAATTGATATCATTTAGCTGGACCGAATTGTGTGTGCTATTTTCTCTGAATTGTTTTCTATATTGAAACTGTTACATAGGTAAGGTACTATTTTTCTCTATTTCATTTTCATTTTGAGTATTATTGGCTTAATATGTTCTTAAATGATTATTTCACCATTTATTTCGTTTTTGGATTACAGCAGATATTGATTTATTATAGGATAGTTCTTTTTATCAAGAACAGTTGACGTTGAGATTCCCCTCCTTTATTCTTGAAGTTCCAAAATTGAAAATAATATATTTTTCGTTTGACCAAAATTTCACTGTATTCAATATCAGTATTGTGACTCTAAAATACTCAATTGTCATAGAATTACACTATAACTATAAGGAAATTCATAATCTGCAAATTAGAAATTACAAATTAAACTGAGGATTAGAATGGAGTTTTGAAAGGTTCTATTTTGGGACCCCCAATGTTTATTTTATACTGGACATGTTCCGAATTTGGGAATTATATAATCAAAAAATATTTGGAAGGGAGGGGAGGTAGAAATCTCGTCAACTAATTAGATTCTATATCGTGCACTGATTTGTATTATTGTGTATATTTCTGGTATGTTTGACTATATTTTGATATTTCTATATTTTAATTGTTTCGTATTGGTCATATGTTTGTTGTTTACCAAATTCCTAACTGATCTGAATATAGAAAGGCACCCTGATTTATTTATATTAGTGATTCTATTGAATTTTTCATTGCACCTTGGATATTCTATATTTTTTATGCAGTTTATTACCATTAAGCCATTAATATTATCTGCTTGTACTTTGACTATTTCGTGCTGTTTTGACTTGTGGTATTTTGAAAAATTCAAACAAGTAATCCCACTTTCTGATTACTTGTTTCAGATGCTGATGGTCAACTTTTATTTATAGTTTGAAAGCGTCTAGATGTTCCCTTCATCAATTCATTTCAGGTTAGCACATTTTTTACTTTAGTTTTATATCCTCATTTAATGCTGAAAATATTGATAGTTATTTGCTTAATAACATACTTTGTGGAAATTAATAATACTGTTAATGATAATATTTTCACAAAGATTCAGCTCTACCCAGGAACGAAAGGCGTTTACAAATTGAATTTTTGATAAAATTGTGTTATTATTATCATGGCTAGTGATAACGTTTTATTGAAAATTATTTTGGAGATTCTAAAATACAGTTTTGTATGTGAAGTGAATGTTGATTTTACTATTGGTTGTTAATTTTGATGTAAATGATAATTAAACATATTGTAACTAAACTATCCGCCAGTACCAATGTTACGTCTATGTGTGGATTCTCAAATATATGAACAGTAGTATGCTCATTTGATAACAATGAACTGTATACTTTACTTCAGTTACTCTTTGTAATTATTTCATTCATTTCACTGTCACTTTCTTCACTCTGATCTGATATGAGTTTTAATTCAAAACTCGTACCACATTCGAACAATCTCCAATCTTCTGGTGTTCACTTCTCAGAATCTGATAGACGCTCCCTGATGTGAGTGACACGATATTTTGTCGGTTCTTTGCCAGTGGCGTAGGCAACGGCTACGGCCTGACAATATATTTATATTTGACTTCAGTGAAATAGCTCGTAGCCAGAACTTGTTCGTTGTCATTCTAGAGATCTCCAACTTCTCGATATTGTTAAAAAATTGCAAACTTACAGATGAGCCACTAAAAATAACTTTTGGACGAAAGGAATTTTAGTCTTCTGGGGATCACTTCTCAAAATCAGATAGACGCTCCAAGATATGATGCCACAATATTTTGTCGGTTCTTTGCCAGTGGCGTAGGCAACGGCTACGGCCTGACAATATATTTATATTTGACTTCACTGAAATAGCTCGTAACCAGAACTTGTTCGTTGTCATTCTAGAGATCTCCAACTTCTCGATATTGTTAAAAAATTGCAAACTTACAGATTAGCCACTAAAAATAACTTGGACTAAAGGAATTCTAGTCTTCTGGTGTTCACTTCTCAGAAACAGACAGACGCTCCGAGATCTGATGCCACGATATTTTGTCGGTTCTTTGCCAGTGGCGTAGGCCACGGCCTGACAATATTTTTATATTTGACTTCGGTGAAATAGCTCGTAATCAAAACTTGTTCGTTGTCATTTTAGAGATCTCCAACTTCTCTATATTGAAAAAAAAAAATGTAAACTTACAGATGAGCCACTAAAAATAGCTTAGGTGTGGGTAATTCTCATACAAAATGAAAGAGTTTTGAAAGTTGAATTACAATTTTCAATATTTTTTTTTCACCTCACCATTTGGGGCAGTTCGTAGAGTTGAGAAAAATTAACGAAATGGTCAAATTAAAAAATTTCATATACCATATTGAAACATATGCATAGACTTCTTCTTTGGGGAGATGAAAACTGTTTGCAATGAAATTCTTTTTGTTCAGTATTGTTATGCCTGTATTTATGGTTAGTTATTACGTTAAGATATCATAAAATATTGTACTCCATGAGATTCGCCGGTAGATTTGGAAATAATACAACTGATATTTAAACTTGGGGACTTTACTAAATTTCAAATAGGTTTAGTCAAATTACCGGGGATGATCAAATTATCAAAGATTATGATCCGATTGAACCAAGTTTAATCATTTGAAATGTGTGCAAATAAGTAATTTTCGAAATTTAGTTGAGAAAATGTTGTGAGAGTATAACAGTTACATAGAATCCTAAGAATTTAGATAAAAAAAAATTAATCTCAAATTATTGTATACGAAAGCGTTTGCTTAGCACTTGGACTGCGAATTTTAAAAAGTGTTCCACCCCAGAAGCAGCTGAGGGTCCCTGGTCAGTATCTGCCATCTTAAACTGGCACAAACACCAAAACCCGAAGTGGTACCAAAATCTCCAGTACTTATCTAACCTACACCTAATGAAGGTACTTTCAACTCAAACCAGCGTTCAGCCTATACTGTTGAATTTAATCTTCTTTTGTTGCCACGGGCCCCAAAGAGGGCTGTGCGCACTTGCCATAGGACTACCGTGGCACATTTCCGACCAAGTACACTGAATGTGTTGAGCAAAATTTTGAAAACTATGGACTGTTGGCATTTTGATCGAGTGAACTTGATATACAAGTGACATATATTGCCGATTTATGTTCATTTTAAACGGTAAAGCAGGTCTAGTGCATTCAATCATGAAACTATAAAAGCTACCCAGTCTTATTGAATTTTTTTTTATCGTTTTTATGCAGTGACAGAAATAATCGTTATAATTTATTTTTGAGTATTTGGTTTCTCCAATATACAAATCAGTTGTGAATTCTGGACTTTGGATTTATTATTGTCACTCTTGCATGGTTTTTACATGATTTATATCTGCTTTTGTCAGATTTGATGGCAACCGAAATGGATAACAGAAATTTGGGAATAAGGAGAGGGCTGAAGGAACCTTGTTTTCAACCTAAAAGTATGATATGGAACTAGGCATCAATTGACCCCATTCTAAACAAAGACGGTATTGGTAAGTTTTTCTGAAGACATGAAAAATGTTGAAGGTACCAGTTTAAATTGAAAGTATGAATCATTTTTGTGCGGTAATGTACTCAAAAAAATTGACACCAATATTTCATTATTCAAGATAATCAATAGATATATTTCTCACTCAAATGGTGTAATCAAAAAATATCCTCAAAATCTGAAAAGGAAATATAGTTTTACATTCAGTATGTAGAGAACATTGAACAGTCCTCAAGACATCTCGGTGTTGTACACTTGTTTTACCGACATTGAGAAGTTTGTGAATTAAAAGTCTGTATATCACCATTTCGGTGCTCAATTTCATTATAGAGTATTGCATTTTTGGGCAATGAAGATTTTGGCTTCCTACTTCATCTTTATACAAAAAATGAGACAACATCTTGAAAAAATACCCCTTTCAATTCCGAGTATTACAATTCTGAAAATCGAGAACAGGTCAACTATTTTTCAACCTGATGAATATTTTGTTGGCGATTCAGATTTTGAACATTTTGTTTGAATAAGAACGAAGAATTATTATAATTATCAATATAATCATTATTGAAGAATTATAAAATTTGAAGGAAACTGTTTCTGAAAGAAATCTTCACAAAATCTAGATCTTATGAAAAATTTTGCTCAAATAGGAAGAATAGGTGGTTGTTCTGAAAGTTGTTTCACAAAATCTACACGTTTGAGTTCATAATATGTAAATATTATATGAATCATATTTATGTCTAGGAGCCAGAGTAGTTAACCATTTCTTTACAGATATTTCGTAATCATATAACACCAAACCGTTCTTTAATCTTCCTATTAAACTTTAATCTTCCTCTTGAAGATGATCACTTGGTGATTGAAACAAGTGTCGAGGTGTTAAAATAACGACTTGGTGTTGGGAAAAACAAAACAGTGCATCACAAGTTAAGAATAAAAAGTCTATATTATGGGGTCTCTATATTTGAAACGTTAACAATATCAAGGATTTGCCTGATAAAATTTTCAGTAATCTGTACAAATATTATTTTGTGAGTAATATTTCTGAATTAAATGCGAATCAAGTTTCGAATTGAAAACATACATTCTGAATTTTTATGGAAGCTACCACTGAGAGTTTTATCAGTGTATATTAACTTACTAATTCAAGATCTTAGAGATGTCTAATGTTTGATACATTTTGGTATAACAATCTATATATTGAGTATCATATGGATCGGACCTAAAATTTATCTCATTCATGGAACAAGTATATGGCTTGTATATAAATAATAGTGGACCTAAAACAAATGATTTTCTGAATTTTCAGATTTTATACCTGTTCTGTTGAGTATGGTCAGTATGAGTATTGAGATTTATTGCTGTAAATATTCTTGTTTGTTCATCAAAATGTTTATTTCATGTATACAAGACATTCACATATAATAATGAACCATATGGATTTGCTTAGAATGCTTTATAAGTATACATATTGGTGATTATTTCATAATTAACATGACACGACCCAGTCAAGAAGAATCTGTCAAAATACATTTTTCTATTTTGAGAAAAGTTATGGAATGTTATATTTCAAGACATAAATATCAGTTCATAACACTTAATGAGAATTGGTTGTGTATTTAGCACTATATTTTCAATTTTTCCAATGACCCCGTTCACATGGCATCTTGAAGGAGGGTTTTTAACAACCAATGTTAGAACCCACGTTAATTTCTTGGAAACATCAATTCATCATACATTATTAACACGATTTAATAACGCTAAACCTTTTGGAAAGAGGAAGCGTTCTGAATCCGAATTTGTTGAGCAGTGTAAACTAACTTGAGAGGCTGTTCAAAAAAAATCTGTTTTAAAATCTATTTTTCCGTTAACCAGCTGTCGCACCCCTACAAACGACAACCCTAAGAAGCCGAACCTTGTGCGAGCTAAGGATTAACGAGGTCTTACCTTTTAACGTGTGATCTCTAACACGGGTTGGACGATAACAAGTGAAAATCGATCGTTAAAATTGGGGCTTGAACCGCCGACCAACACGGCAGTCGATTCGAGAGAGTGAACAAAGCACCCGCGTTGAACCGCCTGGTTACCGACTGCATCAAAACAATGCAAAACACAAAGAGAAAATACTCTGCCTGCAAATATTCGATTGCTTTCGGGTTTTCACAATCGTGTAACGATTTATTTAACGATTTTTTTCTGGAATAATCAACCGAATTCATTTAGTATTGTATTTGTATTGTATGTTTGTATTTTTGATCCTATGAAAATAGGTGAATTGGCAACGTACGTTGTTGCTACCAATTGTATAGAGCAGAAACTGGAAATAGCTGTCATGGGACAACGTTGAATGACTTGACGATGGCAATAGTGCAGTTACCAGGATTGTTTCAAAAGTTGAGGCTTTGATATATTTTACAACTTGTAAGATGATTTTTTAGAATTCTGACTTTTCATGTTTTTACCAGTGGTAAAAAAAACAGAAAGTTTCATTTATCTTTTCTTCATTATGATTTCCTACCACCGAATAATGGCTACATCCATCAATGTACTGTTTAAAAACTGTTTTTCCGTTAACCGGCTGTCGCACCCCTACGAATGACAAACCTCAGAAGTCGAAACTTGTGCGAGCTGGAATAAGCTTCCAGGAATGAGGCAGGCGAAAGAGTTCATAAAGAAACGATCGCCCAGATTCACAGAAGACCTGCTACATCCATCAATTTTTTAATTCTGACTTTTATGATCATTTTTTTCTTCGGTTCTTCATCAAATAGTCAAAAATGTGAATGCTGTCTTCAGAAATGTCCTATAAACAAATTTGCAAAAAACAAACATGAGCAAAGTGTCTTACTCTTGTCCCTAATCCATGAACACCTTGGTTGTATGTTAACATTTTGACTGTTTTCACCATACTGACTCGTGGAAAATGAGATGAAACTGTCAAAAAATTTCTTTTTAATTTTTGTTTCTATGTTATTTGAAGTTTGATGGATTTATTCTTGAGATGTTCAATAGAAACATACTTGGTTTAATAATTATACATTATATTATTGCAAATATTTTTGTATAGTATTTAATATTCAGTAATTGATTTCTTTTATAATAAATCGTTTCACACATTTTTAGTGTTTTATTTTGAACCTCTGTAAAAAAATCTAACCCGTCTACATTTACCAATGAAAGTATTAATATCCAACTTAGAGCTTTGGATAACTAGATCTGTTAGTTTATTATTGTCTAGGCGACTTCGAAAGTTTGAAAGGTAAGTGAAAAATATTTTTATTCAACATATATCCAATAATAACACAATTTTCAACATTTTTTTCAAATACTAATCCAAAATTGAGCAGCAACAGGTTGTCTCCTAAAAACATCTTTACATTCTCTTTCAAATGAACTGTCAGCAAAATTATGCCTTTTTGGATTTGTCTTGGGTTTTTCTTTTGTTGGAATTGGTACAGGTGGGTTGAAAGACATCTCGGACATATTGAAGTCTGTGAATAGCTGCTCGGCAGAACTGAAAATGAAATGTGTTCAACAATTTGATAAATATTATATTTTGCAAATCTAGTACGAAAAAAAACTAGCATGACTTCATATTTTTATTGCACAGATATGCAGTCCCCCCCAATATTTGGTTGGAATGCATGTTAAAGTATCGCTATGGTAAATTGTATTTTACATAACTTGATAAAATTCAACATCACCGTATCAAACAATCGATAAATGAAGCAAAATATTTAGACTGTTCCAGAAGTTACCAAAAATGTGGTTATCACTACTAATTTAATATTACTACCGAAAACTTTGTTATACGTATATGAAACCTGTTTCCTGAAAACTGGAGATGTTGCAATATTTTTTTAAATCAGTTAAGTTATGACTATCATCACCAAAAGTCAACTGTGGATAATAACAATCAACATTGTGAAGTAGCTAGGTATGAAAATTTTTCTAATTATTTCTCATAAAATTAAAGAATCGAATTGGTTAACTATGAAACAAAGATGGTTACTACAGACAAGTTGTTTTATACATAATGTAATTCAAACGAAAGTACCTATTTACTTATACAACAAACTTTTATTCAGACACGACGTTCACGCATTTCATACCAGATATCGATACTGCCTTACCCCTCCAATACACCATACTTCACTATACCAAAGATCGTTTCTTTATAATGTAACAAAGATCTATAATGCCATTCCTGATTCGTTAAAAACCATGAATAAATCTGTTTTCAAGTACTCACTGAGAAACATGTTATTTGAGGATAGACTTCAAATATAAGTGTTGTGCCACGAAAGCAAGAGTTAAAAGTCTGATCAATAATAATTGATGTGCTTTCTGCCTTCAAGCCTCTCTCTTTGTTTTCTTGTTTTGTTTTTATCACTCCCTTTGGAACCTTCATGATCTAATTACTGTTAGCACCCTAGCATTAATCTGATTCTCATTCACGCAGTTAAAAACATTTATATTACTATTATTTTTGATTTGTAAATAATATATATTTTTTCGTGACTTCAAGTTACACTTGTAAAGCCTGTGAACCTCTAGATTTAGATTTGTTTTCTCTTCTCTTATTTTTTTCTCTCTTTTCTCGTTCTCTTTAGTTTTGTTTTAAGGGTTGAACGGAAGAGCAGTCACCAGTATCCTTGGATAGGGGCGACTGAATTCCGCCCTTACACACTATTATGGGATATAGTATTGTATTATCGTATTATAATTAAGTGTGAATAAAGACATATTATTATACTAAAGTCCGTTCAATTAGTTTCACAGAGAGGGAGCCAGATGTTACAATAAAATGTGAAACTATTGAATCGATTTTAAAGATTCTATCACTATTAGAAAGCTTCATTATCCACAAGTTACATAGGCTACTTTTTAGCCAGATAAACCCACGATCGGGATCTACGCGGGCGAATTAGTTATATTCTGTACATTTTAGACAAAAATAATGTGAAATTGTTGAAAAAGAAAATTCAAATCTAGATCGAAATGTTAAAAGAACTGAACGGAAAAATCTAATAGAGTTTGTGAAAACAATTAGTCCAGATTCATTAGCCTTTGAAATTTGTGACATTGGACTATTGAATCCATAATTTCTGGAATGTGTCTACTGTAAAGATGGTATTATCGTATCTATGAAAAATATTCAGCTATAGTGCCATTACTTTGTGAGTCTACTTTCATTACTGAAACTCGACATCATTGATTCATTCATTATGAGTGAAGTATACCCCGAATCAGAATAATATCGAATTTCACGGCAAGAAGTAACCTAAAAATACCAGTTTGAGTGTTACTAAATGCATAAAAAGTTTTTAATTTTATCAACTTAGCTTAGTCTGAGCCTCAAATACGTTGAGAAACGAAAATTTGCAAAAATATCCACATGAATATTTGGCTTTCAAATAGTTGGTTTGTTTCAGTAGAATAAATCAATAGATTTAATAACCCACGTAGGTATGTACAACACTGAATAGTAATCATTCTATTCTCAAACTGTATTAGACTGTCACCTTTAAAAGAACTGGGAGAATTATGAAAGGTGAATGAATTTTATACTGGCATTTTTTGGAAGTTTTAGAAATGGCTATTAGCTATTTTTAATGTATTTTTGTTTTTCGATCTCAATTGCTGTTTCATTTCCATATATTAAGAAAAAAAACATTTACAAGTTTGAATGGTTTGAAGGAAATTATTGTTTATACATGTGTTTCATAATATCTGTCCAGACCAGTCGATATCTACTTTCATAAATGACTTTCCAGAGGTAGCAGAAGTGGTTGCTTAACAAGCTAATATAAAACAAAGCATTTCCACAATCCACATCAGGCCTACACTTTAACCTACCTTTTACCATATTCTCCTGGTAGACTTCCTTCGCCTGTTGCCGGTACGCCACTGGCTATATTCCTAGCAAACTTGGTCACAATGGGATGATAATGCTTATTCAGCAAAATCATTTCATAGAGAGCAGTGCTAGCGGCATTCGAGTATTCCGGGTCGTCGATTTCTGCCTGAAACTTTCCTTCTCCCACCGAATTATCTAAATCAAGTAAAATATCAATGGGTCTGTTCAATTGCATGATGGTTCTGATCAGCCCCAGACAACCTAGAGTGCCGTCGTGAGTCATCTGCAAGCTGAGAGTGGCTATCCTTTTCACAAATCCTATCGTCCTCTTATTGGTAATCTTCTTTCTTCTTTTGATAAGGGCATCGCTCAGTGTTTTGAGCAAGCTCGGTATGTGATCTGATTTTCTCGAAGCGGCGCTGGTGAAAAGTAGGTCTTTGTAGAGGCTGTTATAGAATCTTATGGGGTCCAGGTTGAGCGCTTCTCCTTGACCGCTGAGGATTGCAAAGACTGTTTGTATGCAGTGCAACTTCTCTCTGTAACCTAACCAATCTTCTTTTAAGAGACTGTCTAATACGTTTACGATATCTACGTAGAATTCCAAGTTTATGCAGTGAGCAAATCTGAAAGCAAAATGAGAGTATATCATTCAATAATGATTATATTCATTTCTCTTGTTGAAAAGTATAAAATTATTTGAAAATATACAATAACAAAGGTGTCAATGGTCACATAAATAGAATATAACATATAAGAATTAAAGGTAAATACATAACATCTAATGTATGAAAGAAAGACGCGAAATCAATTGAAGTTATTATATTTGTCATTACGCAAACGAATGTCATAATAGGGGCAATATTCATCACATAACAAATCTTTCACGAAGAAGTTTAAATGCAAACTGCAGAATTTTGTGAATCAATCCACTGCAGGTGAACAAATGGCACGTCGTGTTCAGTGTTGCCAGTTTTACTGGTTTTGCAGTAGATCTGTTTTGGCTCAGAAGCTGTTCTACATAAAAAACTAAATTATGGATATTACCATGTATGTTGCTGAAAGCAGAGCCTTTTCTTATGTAGTATGTATCTAAAAATGAATTTTGTACTGTTTTTGGTATCAATTTTGTATTCCTTGCGATTTCTTTCTATGAGAAACTTTTTAGCCTTGACTTGAATATGGAAAGATTTGGTATATTTTTTATAAAAATATCAAATTTGTCGATTAGATCCTAGATGTAGCAGACTCTTTTGGTAAATGGAATTCCGTTTCCTTAGCTCTAGTATAGGTAGTCTATAGTCCGTTCATAATTTGTTGATAGCTCACTGCAAGTTTGACCCTCATTAGAGAACTGAAATACAGTTTGTTAGTAATGAATAAAACCAAAACAAAAACCAAACTAAAACTGGCAGTTTAAGATGTTTTCGACTAACCCACCTTGTATCTGAAGAAATACAATACAGCTATAAAACTTTTAATCCGATTATGTAGGTATTTTGAGTGGAAATGAGTGACCAGTGTCGTAGAGTATATGATTAAAACATTAGTTACTTTAAATAAATAAATATATTAATATTCTTAAACTGTAGGTACTGTAAACTGTATTTTTATTTNGCACTGCACAAAATTCGCAAAATAAATATTAGAGACGTTAATTACTGCCGTAGACGCCGAAACACCAACGAGCCGTAAATTAAATGCGATTAAAAAATGTACTAAACCAAAAATTATTTTCGTTCGTAACAACTTCACCCTTTCAAGGCAAGTTTCGAATATAAACTGAAGCTTTATATTTAATGAATAAACACCTCAGGAACCTCCGCCTATGATTTTACGAGTTTTACGACCGTTTTATGACTTGGGCCCTCATTTTGTGCTATCGACAAATTATGAACGGACTATAGTTGATGTGATGCAAATTCTCACATATTTCTGTAAACATAAATACAGACCAGCAACAGTAGGTATTCCCAGTTCTTTGAAACAGTTTCTGCAAGACTGGTGTCATCCTAATTGTGAAACTATTTTAATTGCATATTTTTGCAAATTGAAGACTTTCAATAAAAAAATTCACATTCCAGCACAGCATACCATATCGATGGTAACAGTCAATTGTTGCGTGGTATAGGTTAATCATAACTTGCTTTTTACAATGAATAGTCATAAATCCTAATGCGTAGCAGTTTCTTTGTAGTTTTTCAGGGTGTGACAAGTAATCCCAGTTACAGTAGTTTCAGTTCTTATAGTGAATTTACAGTATTCAACCAAGAGTCAAATAACAATGTTTTGTTTGACGAAAGAGGTTGAGTAACATTTTTCAGAAATACATGTTTTTAAATTCCGAAGTACAATTAAAACATTGAATATGCGCAGTATTGTATCACACTGGGAAAGTGGGCAAATACGGCCCTGCTCCCTTAGATAAGGATAATCATGTTTACCTAAAATAATCTGAGATGATTCTGGAAAAGACTAGAAAATTGGTGAAGTAGAGAATATTCTAGCAGACTCAATACAAAGATTTGTTGGATGAGCAAGATTAGGTAAACAGACATCGTAAGTGAATAAGTTATAGAAAGCCGAATGCTCCAAGTAATAATTGTATTAGTTGATTAAAACGTGTTGAAATAGAGCTGAATATGCTTGTCAAAACAAACTTGAAATTATCCATTTTTTTTTCTAGATATCAAACTTACTTTGCTAAACCTTCCAGACAAACTCCAAGAATTTTTGTGTTGCTAGACAACTTCAAAATTCTGAAATATATATTGAATACCAGTTTTGTAATTTCTGTTATGTTCTTCTGTTTAGTTTGTTTATTTTCTTCTGCTTTGGTTTCTAATAATTCCTTCTCAACTTCTTTGAGTTTTTTCTTTCTCTAAAAAAACAAAAATAGCTTCGTTCATTAAATTATTTGACCTTACCTTTCGTTCCTTCTTCGACATCTGCAATAGTCGGGACTTGTGAGACATAAGCTTTTTCTGCTTCATATCTTGCTCTTTTTCTTGGTCCAAGTTGACTTCTCTCAAATTAAGGTTGAGTAAAACCTCCAGCATTTCAGTATGTACAATGTGAGAGTGATTTTTCAGATAATTATTAATAACACGCATGATCTGAAAATAATATTAAAAAGAGTTATGTGAGAGTTTCACTTATTTGCCCTAAATAAACATTTTGTGAGTCTCACAATGAAGTATTATTCAATATATTAAAGGAGAACAATTCCTTAAAGGATATTTTTTTTGTTATCAAACATACAAATATATGTGTATTAGTAATCATTTGAGGTACACCTAAACGACATCCAAAACTCTTTAGGAGGTCTAATAGTGTTTGATTGATTATTTCAAAAAGACAATGAATAATATTGATCAGCTCATTTTTGCCAAAGCTAAAGCTTTCAGTTGAAATATTTTGATTTGACATCACCTTCAGTGTTATTTCTTCTTTCTTGTCTTCTTTGAAAACGGTTTTCACAGCTGTTTTCACAATATCTCTTACATTTCTATTGCCGTTATTCATGAAGGGAACAATAGCTTGGGCTATATTTTGTGAGAAATTGAAATATGGATGGGTTACCAACAAATCGCACATGGCTTGAACCGCCAAAACTCCTAGTTTCGTCTCGTCCTGCAAAAGAAACAACACGTAACATTATGACAAAACCCTCTTTCTTTAGTGCTCTATATTTGTTATTACTTCTGATCTTTTTCTTGTATCACCTTTCTTCTTCATCAGCATGAAACAGTATTTCTCCAACTTCTGCAGAAATTTTTTGTAATATAGAAGTAAATTTTCTTCATACTTGTGAAGTTTGAGAGTGTCTTTCTTCACTGGAAAAAAAGTACAATGAAAATGGTTCAACTATGAAAACTATGTTGCATCAACTTACTTTTTACTCCATCACTAGTGGTCTTCTTAATTTCATAGGAAGGCAAAATATCTTTGAAAACTTCCAATAGTGACACTATGACTAATTTCCTGATTGTTAAATAAACGTCTGCATCTTCTTCATCCATAATGGTCAATAGAGTTCTCAAATTTGTAACTTTTTCTTCAGGATTTTCTAGTAAACCAGAACTCAACGTGCCAATGTGAATTTTCCTCTGTCGCAGTATTTCATTTCTAGTTGCTAACAGTTGTGCGGCTGATACTGGTTTGGATAAATCAACTTCAGAATCTTCTAAGGTAAAATTTTCAATATCGCTACTTTCGGTCTCCTCATCTGGCTCAGCTGCAGGCTCATCATCATTTGTGTCATTTTCTGCAAACAAGTTTGATTAGATGAATTACTGATTATACCTTGATAAATGTGTGCAAAAAAATTGCTTAGAGTTGAAATTCTGTGAGCATTTACCTATCACATCTTCCAGAGTCTGTTGAGGAATTACCCCTTTTTTGGTTTTGATAGGCAGTAAGTTTCTAACTTTCTTTCCATCATCATCGTTGCCAAGCGTGTCTTCATATTCATTTTCTAACGTTTCATCATCATCTATTTTACGTTTCTTCGGTTTTGGTTCAACCGATCTGTAAATAAGCAGGAATTTTAGTAAAGACGATGAAAGAATATACCTTCAGATGTAAACAATTTCATTTCTTTTTTATTTATGAACCTCAACAAAATTACTGATGGAGACTTTATGTGAAAAGAAAAGTGTAAGATGATATATATATATATATATAGCTCAAAATGAAGTTTATTTGCAGTTTATAATGTATAAGTTTATAATGTATCCTGAAATTATGCAAAACTTTTCAATTCTGTTTGCAAGAATTGATTATTTGAAGTTGGTTTTAGAAGAAAGTTCTCAAGGGATGACATACATTGAAAATATGGTATATTTTTACAATATTACAATATACAATACAAATACAATATAAGTTATAGTCACGATCAATGGTTCTATTCCTCCTCTCAAGAAATGCCATTTGAATATTTCTGTTCTGTGTGTTTGATGTTTATTTACATGTCTAAAATGGTTTGAATTGAAATTGTAATGACGGCAAAATTCAAAATCTACAACTTTCTAAAGATGTATTGATTTTTTATGAGAGAATTTTCGTATTACTACAACCAGTGACTTGGTATATTCTATATATTTTCCTAAATATATCAAAACTACTTACTCTCGATATCTAACCCTATTGAAAATGTTATAAGATCGATT